GGCCAAAAGTCCTTGCTCGCACGAGGATCTTGGGTATGGACTCCCATGGTCCGAGTTGGATCCAGCTCTCCCTTCGGCCCCTTTTTTGGCTTTCGCCTTCGGCGTCACTTTCGCCGAAGCTGAGGCCAAAGCGCGCTCCACTGCCGCCTGAATCTTGTTCTCCAACTCTTCGGTGTTTGCCATATTGGATCACAGATTCGACAGGCTGACTCAAATCAAAGGTCACTTGCTTTGAGCTTGAAGATGCGCTAGATTGCAAAAAATTGCCACTGCTCTGGTGAAACACACAAATGCTCAAACATGGAGTTTGCGAAAATGCCATCCGACTGTTGTGGTTCTTGTACCACAAAACATGGCTGTTCTTCAAAATTGGGCTCGAACGAAAAATCTAAAAGGGTCATCAACTGCTGTGACTGCTGTGCCACACGTGCTGATGAACGAGTTCGGTCTGTCCTTAATTCGGCTTTCGGAGATCTGGCTGCAGAATGTTGTTGTCGTTGCACGGGAAGGTCCTTCAAGAAGCTGAAAAGAATCTGTCTCTTGGGAGTCAGTCTGAGGTGTCTCATCTCGCCCAAAACAACTGCATGACCATTGGAGAGGTTCACTATCATACACAGTTGTTGCATTTCTCTCATACCCAACAGAACAGGAACACCCGGTGAAGGAAGTGCATACAGTTGTAGGGTTATGGAACCAAAATGGAGCTTCGCCTTGTAACTAGCCTGACCCCATGATCCCGAACCATAGCGGAAATATGGCCGATCTTCTGTGACGACTGTCAAGCTAAGGTCTGGCCGCGATTGGGCCAAACTGTGGAGAAGGTTCTTCACAGCTGTCTCGCCACCGGCTGACACTGTTGCACCTGAATCGATGATAGCCTCTTCAGGTCGGATGGCAGCACGTGAATCCGCTTGGCTCACTGGGAAAAAGGAAAGGTCTGGTGAGAATTCTGCCTTGGGGATCATGTCTGTCATAGTCATCATGTGGTGCTCTTGAGGCTCCATGAACATCCCAGCATGAGAGGAAGGTCTCTGAGACATCTGATTCCTATTCTGAAAGTTTGAACGCCCTGCAAAACGATTCTGTTGCGGTGGACGCCAACCAGAGGAACCGAAAGGACGGTTGTGGTAGCCGCCCTTGCCATGAAACCCATGCCCCTTCTGCTGAAAGAAATTGGTCTGTGACCGATGTCCCTTGCCCTGCATGAACGTGCTGGCGCCCTTCTGGGAACCGTGTGGTGGAGAACCCTTTGAACCTGAGCTCTTCCAGCCACGATCCTTCTTTGCTTCTTGGACTGCACGTCTAGCTTGCTCCAAGTTGCGCTGAGCATCAACCATCATGGCATTCAGCTCTTTCTCTTCTTCTTGAAGCTGTGAAATCACATGCAAAGCTTGGTCCTCGGTCATGGATTCTGGATTCACCTCAGACTCTTCTGCTTGAGGATCATCTGCGGTCTCCTGAAACTCTTCACCATAGTAACCATCCTCAAGGTATTCACCCTCAGGATAGTCATGACTACTGCTCCAATAGTCTTGGTACTGCATGTCCTCACCCTCAAACTCTTCCACTATGTTTGCCATATGTCCTTTGCCCCGTCCAAAACCCTTGGGAGGATTGTTGATCCCTCGCATACCACGGTCTTCGTGGAGTGACAACAAGGCTGATCGAATGTTCTGGTATCCGAGCTTGTTTTGCGTTGCTGCTTTGACCAGACTCTTGTCCAGTTCAGTGGCGCTCGCACACTCCAACAAAAGCCAGCCTCGAATAATGTCTAAGGCCGCGAGCGGGATCAAGCCTTTCTGCATCAACCTCTCAATCAAGTCAAGGCGCTTGGAAGGTTTCTCAGGACTTGAACCGATTGGCATAGTGTGGTGAGATTCGGACTGCGATCGGGACAGTGGCGGCTGTGGCAGGTCTTCATCTTCTGCTTCTGCATTTGGTTCACGGTTTCCAGCGAAACGAGATGGATGAGTGCTCCCACTCCCGCTCCCGGAACCCTGAGAAAAGGCCCCCGTGAGTTGACTCATGCTCAAACTCCCCTGGGACATAGAAACTCTTGTCCGCCATGCCGCAAAAATCTTTCAATTCATCTAGAGAGCAATCATACTGGTCGAAATCCAATTCCTTTTCCCGAAGCAACCTTTGAAGGGCTCGCCACATGGAGTCATACAGCGTTTCTTCCCTAACCAAAAAACTGAGGAATGGTTTCCTGTGGCTTCCTACTGAGTCGCCTGTAATAGGCGGACAACTGCCGCCCAGCATCCGGAATTGGCTGCCGGTTCATTGGCGAAGCCTCCAAAAATGATATCAGACGAGTCACAGCATCTTCGGTGGTGAAGTCCGCTGGGTCCAGTTTGTAGGCCAAGGACTTGAGGGAAGGATAATCGCTCTCCAAGATGCGACGAACTAATCTTGCTGCTGCATACGGTCTACTGAGGATTTCGTTCCAGCCAAGTGCCATTTGATCTCTGTGATGTAATGAAAAAAGGTTTCAGGTCGGCCATCCCAACTAGGAACCCTGTTGAAGGAGGATCCCTGACCAACATCTTTGGACATCTCTCTGAGAAGCCTCGAGGGGACAAACCAAAAAGGAAAAACTGGCCCTGAACGTACAAGGCTCCGCGGCACCAATGTGTCAAACCGCCAAGTTGCGTAGATTGCGAACGTCGTGCGAAAGCGGAAAGACGAGATCAAACAAGGAGGATCAAAACATGGCTTAGGCGGTCCGTGCCACCCTTTTAACACTCCGTCTAAGTCTGAGCTCAAGAGGCGCCCCTGCGGACGAGAACATGAGTACCCCGCACCTGTGGTTCCGTAGACCACTGAGATGTGCTAAGGTTGGTAAATCGGGCTTCACACAATTCATGAAACACCAATGAAACTCCTCTCAACTTAGCACAGGTTCAGTGCTTTTGGAGTTGAAGAGAAGATATCTGCGATCGCTTATATATCTTAGATAAGCTGTGGCAAAAAGGTTGGTCCAGGCATCATCCATCCAAACTTCTGGCATATCTGCAAAATGCAGGCCTTGTTTCTGCTCTTCTTTCTTCTTTTGTGTTCGCAGTCGTTGCATCTTACGAGCAGAAATGAACTCTTCGTTGAACTTCACTATCCAGCTTTTGTTGGTAT